GTCCATGGGCCAAAAACTTTGATGGACAGTGCGAAAGAAAGTGGAAGACCTTCGTGCTGGATTTGTTGATTGAAGTAGTTTCCTTCTTAATTAGACGTTTACCCCTTCTACCACAGTCATTATTCGTTTAGAAGAGTAGACAAAATAGGTAAGAGCATTCGTTTTTGGTAACACATTGGACGGGATAGAGTTATGAGGGAACAACTACTCCTTGGAAGTAAATAGTTATTGCACATAGCCCCCTTGTTTATTTAGTCACTTTTCGCGAAATTATCCTTATGTGTGCTCTCTGCGCATGCCATTACCTGTGGTCTACTGCCTGTGGTTGGTACGTATACTTCGTCCTCGTGTCCAACAGGTGGTGTGCCTTCGTACAGCCCCATTATATTTTAATGACCGATTGTTGGTTGAGTACGACGCTATGCAGTAATACCAGGTAGTCTGCTGGTGAGGTGACAATCATCACTCGAAATGAACCTTTGCTTTACTGATAATAATATTTGCGGTGTAATCAACGTGGCAGTATTGGTTTGTTTGACTGAACTATGTTCCCTCTTTCAGTTGCATTATGCATTCAAGGGCGTTGAAAGTTGCCGCTTTCGCGATCAGTTAAAAAATATCTTAAGCTACTCCTAAGTCACGACCCATGGGCATCATGAACGGTACTGCGCAACAAAAAATTCTAGACTGCAGCCCTTTCCGCAAAGTGGCACCAACCCGACCAAGGTTTCAATCCCATTTTTTTAGTTGTGCATTTTGAGTGGTAGCCTTCAGCAGTCCAGTTAGACTGCAAATCGTACCTTTACTTGAACAATAATAAGCTGATATCCGGATGACGTGCTTCTCCTAGAAATCCCAAAGTTCTTCCATGGGTCGGAAGTGAGTCATCTTATAAAATTAGTACCCTGGATGCCATGCACCATCTCGAGCATCTTGTGCAGCCAAATCCAGCGATTAATAAATACGAAGTAGCTGTTTTAGTTTTTAGTGTGCCTCTCATTTATCATTTACCAAGTAACACAGACAAATAAAGGGCAGTGGCATGCAATGTACCAATTCATTGGAGGCGGACTTTTGAGAAGGAGTGCTTCAATTGTTTATGAAAACCCAACATCAGCGGGCAGTAGAGTCCCCTCAGAGTGCTTCGACTACTTCTTGTCCACTTAAA